AAGGAAGGAAGGAAGGAAGGAAGGAAGGAAGGAAGGAAGGAAGGAAGGAAGGAAGGAAGGAAGGAAGGAAACAAGGAAGGAAGGAAACAAGGAAGGAAGGAAACAAGGAAGGAAGGAAACAAGGAAGGAAGGAAACAAGGAAGGAGGAAGGAAACAAGGAAGGAGGAAGGAAACAAGGAAGGAGGAAGGAAACAAGGAAGGAGGAAGGAAGGAAGGAAGGAAGGAAGGAAGGAAGGAAGGAAGGAAGGAAGGAGGAAGGAAACAAGGAAGGAGGAAGGAAGGAAGGAGAGGGGAAAGAAAGAAAGAAATCAAAAACTAATTATTATCCTCTTGCCATTGCCTTCCAAGAGCTGGATTACGAAGTATCCTGCTTCCCCAGCTCTCTCACATTCCCTTTTTGCTGGTGACAGCATCCCTTTGCTCCCCCAACTCACCATTACCCATTTCCAACCCAGGCTCCAAGTGTAAGACTTCTCTTTAATCTCACACTTGGAAACAGTGTCATGTTTTCCAAACTTAATCTTTCTTAAATTTCTATCTGAATTATAAAATAAAGGTCTGCGATTTAAACATGACCATCACAGTAACATTAAAAGTTCAGCCCTTCAGAGATAACTACATTTTAACAGAGACTCCTAGAAAGACAGTATTTTAACCCAAAGAATAGTACCAGTAGGAATTTCAGATACCGTGACAAGTTGAGTAGCGTTTGCTGAGGGCAGTTTTCCCTCTTCAGACCAAATAATTCGGGCAGATTTTTTACCTGCTTGCATATTCGTACTGGAGTTCTTTGAGTCTGTCTTTCACTCCATACAGGCTCCTTAGCTTGTTTCCATCAACCCTGAAATCGCTGAGCATATGTATATTGATGATACTCAACCCACATTCCCAGCCCAAAGCTCTTCAACCCTGGTGTCCTTCAGTGTGAACGCACACAGCCTACCACAGGCAGCACGTCTCCACTGAGATGTATGACCTCTGCCTTCAGCTCAACTCCCCTCCACTTTTTCCTTACCACTCTCCCACCTCAATTCCATCCACCTTATTCTATTCCATTCTTTCTCTTCTACCTTGCTTCTCAAGCAAAACACAAGGGTATCATTCCAGACTCCTGCCTTTCTGCTTTGTTGTTCAAGGAGGCCAGACACCACCATGCTCTCCCTTAATTATTTTTACAGTGTGATTGCCACCAAGCCTGACATCTGAGTTGCATCCCCAGACCCACTTATCTGATAGGAGAGAACCTTTTGTAAACTGTCCTCTGAGCTTCATATGCTTGCTGTGGCACACTCAAAACCCTTCTCCCTAGACAGACAGACAGACACAAACACACAGATACACACACACACACACACACACACACACACACACACACACACGCTTTTTTGTTTTGTGGAGGCAGGACCTCCGGCAGGCCAGGCTAGCCTCAAACCTGCTATGTAAATGAAGGGGCCTTGACCTCCTCCTGACCTTCCAACACTCACCTCCCAGGTGCTAGGATTACAGGGGTGGATGTGCCACCACTCCAGGATTATTATGGTTTGGGGAGACAGGTTCTCCCTATTCAGTCCAGACTAGCCTTGAACTCACTGTGTAGCCCAGGCTAGTCTTGAATTCACAATCTTCCCGGCCTGGGACTATATAGATGTTCTCTATT